TTTCTTCAAACATTGATTCTAATCCATTCTCTATAATCTCCACTTTTGGTATTCCACTTATTTTCAATTTTTGCTTTACCAATTACACATATGTTAGCATTTTATATCATATCCCACATATTCATTACACTCAACTTTTAAGGTTTTCTTCCTCTCTATTTTTTCTTCAGATTCAATATTCTCTGTTGATCCATTACACAACTGGTCATATTTTCTCCTTTATCTAATAATTTTTATTAACTTTACCTTTTGAACTATTAATTAAAATTCAGAAATTTTCTTTTTAAAATTTCTGCTTGATTGTTTTTCTTTTTATAAATTCCTTTTGGGTCAAATAATCCATATTTTAATTTATCACTCTTTTCCTCTGTTCTTTTAAAAAATATGTTATTTAATTATGTTATTTTATTCTCAAGTCCTTGCTTGGTCTGTTTCTATATTCTATTGTTTTTCCTTTGGATTTTGATTGTTTGGCAACAGTACAATTTTACATGAAAACCTGTAAGAAAAAAATTTACTATCCTTCAGAGGGGGCTCATCATTCTCTTTTCTAGGCCAAAGGTTGAGGCTAATCAACTTAATACCGTCAGGGGCTGGGTGACTGACGCCTGAGCTGTGGTTTGACAGGTGTCGCAGTCTGGTTTGCACCTGCTGCACAGATAACTCCTGGGGTTCTGGCTGAGAGTGTGGCATGTCACCGCGACTGGTACCTCCTCAGTGATGCTCTTTCCTTATCTTGCCCTCACTGGTAGAGTCGACTTTTCAGGCCCTTTCTCCTTGTTTTCTTTACTTTCTTCTTTTCACAGTTTGGAAATTCAGAAAATGTCTGGAGTATAGAATCCCTTTGCCTTTCCTTCCTTTCTCTCTAAGACAATGGCTCATAGGTATTTTAATTATTGAATCTCGCTGATGTGCCAACCCAAGAGAATAACTTTCCATAGCTACCTTCTTTCCAGACTCATAAAGCGGATTTTCATTGCATCATATGCAGGGCACATAAGACTACCGTGTATAATCACTGGCCACGTTCACCAATCACCTGGCTGAGTGGTGTTCACCAGACCTATCCCCTGTACATCTCCTTCCTCTGTCTCCTCCGGTGCTCTTTGGAAGAAAGTCGCCACGTGCAGCCCACCATTAAAGAGCAGTAGCTACACCCGACCTCCTTGAGGGAATAACATCTACATAAACCATGTGAAATTCTGTATGGGATTTGTCTATGTTCTCCCATGTGTGTATGTATTTATTTATTCAATCATTTATTTGTATCAGTGTGGCCTTATGGATATTTAGTTTACAATCACATCTATAATCCCAGCACTTTGGGAGGCCCAGGCAGGTGGATCACCTAAGGTCAGGAGTTTGAGACCAGCCTGTCCAAGCTGGTGAAATCCCGTCTCTACTAAAATTACAAAAACTTAGCCAGGCGTGGTGGTGGGCACCTGTAATCTCAGCTACTCAGGAGGCTGAGGCAGGAGAATTGCTTGAACCTGGGAGATGGAGGTTGCAGTGAGCTGAGATAGTGCCTCTCCAATCCAGTGTGGGTAGCAAGAGCAAAACTCCATCTCAAAAAAAAAAAAGTCTCTTATTTTTAATTATGCAAGGTAACCTCTGGTTAGTGTAAGCAAAAGGTCAGCTGCAATTGTCCTTGGGGGATAGTTGAGGAAGCCACAAAGACTGCACAGAGACTGTTCAAGACTATCAGTAACATAACAAAACACCCTGCTGTGCTGGTCAGAAGTCTTAGCAGAGTAAGCTGTGATCCCATATGTGATTTTTATGCCATCCACCAGCTGTACTCATTAAGCTGGTCTAGCCCAATGCCTTCCAAACTTCACCATCATCAGATTCACCTGGAGGAGGAAGACTCACACCTGCAACTCCCTAGGAACTCCAAGTAAAAAGGATGTGTCTGGGACGAAGACTCTCATTTCCCAATGCAATTGAAAAGCTCCTCCTCACAATGTGCTAACCCTTCTGGGTTACTGCCATGGGTTACGCTGTATTCACCCGAAGGTTTTGCAACCTGACCCACAGTACCTGTGAACATGACCTTATCTGGAAATAAAGTCTTTGAAAATGGGTAAGGTGAGGCCAGGAAGGCAGGGCGATTCCAATACGACTGGTATTTCTATAGAAAGAGGAAATGCAGACACAGAGACAGACACCTCCAGGGAGAAGAAAACAGAATGACATGGAGAGAATACCACCTGCAGCTGACGAGAGGCTGGAGCAGACCCTTCCCACACGGCACACGGAAGATGCCAAGCCTGCCAACCTGACTGCAGACTTCCAGCCTCCAGAGCTGAGCGGCAACACATTGTTTCTGTTGTCTGAGCTGCAAAGTTGGTAGAACTGTTAAAGCAGCTCCAGGACACTGATGCGGTGACTAAGGTTTTTGAACAGTGCTTGCGCATTTAAATGTGTATTTATTATATTACCTCCAAGTCTCAGAATGACATAAATACTATTCTTGATATTCATGTTGTCCCAACAGAGAAAAGTGGGTCCCGTCAAATAAACGCAGCTGTTTAGGGCTGTGCCCACAGTGTGGTGGGGTCAGAGTGGCCACAGTGAAAGGATGGTGGGTGGTGACAATGGACACAGGCCACCTCACAGGGCCTGGACTTGGCAATGCACCTGCAGGCTCCCGACTCTGAGGTTTCCCAAAGTGTTTCCTTTTCACAAATAAGTTCCCCAGCAGAATTATTTACATAGGCTTGAAAACCTGGCACGATCACATCCATCCTCTTCAAACTTTACAATGACTTGTGAGAACCAAGTCGACGGTATTGCAAAAGCATTAGTCTTCTTGGAAAAAAAAAAAAAAGAATACGTAAGTGTGTTATTGCCACAGTCATAAGTTTGAGTTAGGAGACTGGGAAACAGGGAATAACATTTGTCTATGAAAAGGCATTTATCTGAGAGGGATCCTTTAAAATGCCATCACAGCCCCATGGCCGATCCTCCACATTGTGAAAATGCCAATCACATTTAGCAAGCAATGATGTCTCATGAATATTTGTTAAAGAGCAAACCATTGACACCTGAATTGATGCTGGATTCTGCCTGAAAAGCACACAGGCAACAACACCCCCCAGCTTCTGGCAGGGCATGACTGCGTGTGGGCTCCAGGACCACGCTCCCATATGTGCATATGAAATGGGAATTTTTTATTATCCAAAGGACGTTTTCCTTACAAGTGTAATTATACAAATGATTGAATATGGTTGTAACACTTTTTAAAAATATGAATTTAGAGATCGATTGTAATTTCTTTAAGAGCCACAGTAACGGAGCGCAGGCACTTTCCTGAGCTAGTATTTGCTTGCAATCAATTTCAAACCCCCTGAGCTAGTTGGGTTCAGCTTAACTTTGCATCTCCTTGTGTTTTCAGAGCACCAGGAAAGGAGAAGCAGTGACCTTTGGGATTTAAATGCTAGAGCAGGCCTCCCTGTGGCTCGGTAACTCCCTTCAGGCAACCTTAGACCCCAAAGGTCTGCTGGTGCACTGCGGCCTCTAACACAGGGAATTACATTACCAGTGTAGCTGCCTCTTAATTGGGAGCAAGCCTTCCAAAACGTTTCCCTTTGTGCTGCTTCCACAGTTCATTTAAATAAATCGTGGTGTTCCATTATTTAACACTGTCATTTTTTCATATTCAAACACAGATCCCATTTCTCAACCTTGCCACCATGACACCCATAGAGAATCTTTTGCTTTTCTCCCTTAATGAAGTAGCTTTTTCAGGACTTTTCTTGATGTGTAAATATATGTGTGTGTATCAATTCATACATGTATGCATATCCATATATATTTAGCTTTTTTTAAATTAATAACATTTATCGAGAACCAAAGCTGAATGTCCTGCCATCAGCCTATTTCTGCTCATTCCAAAATATACTTCCTTGAATTCACTGCAGGTTATTCTCAGTGATGGTATGTCTACAGACATTTTTATCAGAATAAAATAGTAGGTTTGCGTCTTACTGCAATTGGTAGATAGATACAGATATATAGAAGAGATAACAAGAAGTCTCTGGCCAGGTATGGTGGCTCACACGTATCACCCAGCACTTTGGGAGTCCCAGGCAGGTGAATCACCGAAGGTCAGGAGTTTGAGACAAGCCTGTCCAAGGCAGTTGTGCCAAAAATTAAGACTGGACTTTAAGGATATTTGTCATTAATTCTCAAAACTGACATCTTAACCTAGTAACCAATAAAATAAATGATTGGAGAATTTTAAGAGCCAACAAATTCTTCGTACCAACAAACAATAAGATCAGTAGAAAAGCTGACCCTACCTTCAGCTGCACCCCATACTCTGCCAAAAGAAAATCAGTTGCAAAATAGTGGACCCTGGGAATAATGAAACACCAAAACCAAAAAAAAAAAAAAAAAACCACAACAATGTAACGCATAAGACAAAAAGCAAAACAAAACACGCTCAGATATATTCGCAGGCAGAACAACTATTTAATTACAGGATTTTGAATATGCATATAATGATGATCTGATAAAATCAGATTGGTAGGTAATTACTGTGCTCAATCATTGAGAAAGAAACTCAAAGTTAAAGATAAAACTTAGAGTAAGTAAAAGGAATTAAAATTCAAAGGACATGTCACACCAGCTTCTTTTATGTGTGGATTCTCAGTGATATCTGATTCTTACGTATGTGGAAATTTGCAGAATTCTCCCCACCAGCAAAATTGGTTTGCATACATACGGTCAGTAGTGAGTTAGCTTAAGTTTATAACCAGGTTTATAGACATTATGCAAAGATGGCCTGGATTCAAAAATACAAATTAATTCTAATCATCCCTCTCCCATACCAATTAAAACATTAAAACACGTTTTCACTTTGAACTAGTTGTTTTGTCTCAAATATCATTTCTATATCATGGTTGCCCGAAAGGCTTGCACTTTAAGGATATGATTACAGTTGCCTTAGACCTCTCTGGCTTTTGAGAGCTACGCTTCTTTCAGTAAATTCCTACCTGCAGACGTTGTCACGATTTCTGTGGTGTTTCTGAGGCCCATGAAGTCAAACTGATAAAGCCGCCATGATTTCTGGTCAGCTGCCTCCACTGAATTTTTTCTCCATCTATAAATCATTTCTTCTTTGGGATAGCCATCTAAAAATGCAGAACAAACATTAACCCTTGAAGGTACACATGCATAAATCATTAAAGTAAAAATTATAATTCTGATCAATTAGTAGGAGTTAAACTTTTAGGCCACGTGTGCTCTCTAAACTTTCCTCCGAGACACAGAAACTGGACAAATGAATGGCCAGATGCCACCTAATCCTGCTGTAGGCTTCACGAACGGCCAGGTGCTCCCGAGCAGAGGCCTGACCACTGACAACACACAGGGAGCGGTGTCTTCATCTCTTTAGCCTTGGGGAGCCGCAGCTGCCATGGCCCTTCAAGCAATGGAGGTGCTAGTCAACGGCTCCCGGCCTCGGAGCCCTCTCCGTGCAGATCTAACTATGAAGCCCACACCCATACACCTTCCACCCTTCCCCACAATGTAGTCCATGAGATCTCAGGGAAGAGGAGTCAGTAAGGTAATCACCGATTCGATAGATTCCAAAGACCCTTCCTCCTATCAGTCTCCAGCGTTGATAGGTGAATGTTGACCTGCCTCAGAGACCCCTTCTTATGTGGTTAATTACTCCACGAGTGTGAGCCTGGCGTTTCTGCTGCCTGGGGCCCAGGCTGGCACCTGCCTAGATCATGACATCAGGCAGGTGCTCTGCCCCACTCCTGTGAGTGCTGTCACCAGGGCTCCCTGGCTCCCTGACCTGGGTATTTTCCCAGATGCCTGCTTTTCTGCCTGCAGCTACACTCCTGAATTCCCCACTTCTGATGCTTGGGACAACACCAACCCGTCAGCTGGAGCTCTATGACCTGTGCACCTGCTCTCTTTGTACTGCCTAATCTGCAGGCTCTGCGGCTGTGTCTGCCCCACAGGGCACATCCCACTCTCAAGAACAAGCCTAGGCCTTGTGTCACCGGCAACGCACGGCAGCACTGCATTCTCGGCCTTCACTGATTCACAGGGACACGGATTGCGTGACTCTGAAAGAAACGTATGCACCATCTCAATGCGTTATCCCACACGCTAAAAGCACCGCCTTAGTGCACACATATGTATGCAAACATATTAATAAAGTGGTTGAAATGTGCTGATTAAACATTTAAATCAGTTTGCAAAATTCTTAAAGGCAATCTGCCTTCTTGATTTTTTTTCCCTTTCTGCCTGACATTGCTGGCTTGGCTCCACCACTGGAAGACTAAAGTGAAGCACAGGCACACCCCGCTTTCTGATTGTGGGTTGCCTGGTGAAATTACTGTCAGCACAGCAGGGACACATGCTCTCCCCTAACCTGAAAATGCTAAGCTCAAGGTACCCAGAGCCAGTCTGAAGCATTTCTATGAAGGAATCAAACACTGCACTTCGTCCAATTGCTTTCTAACCGCATTAAGCTGTCATAATTACAAAAGGTGTTCTATGCTGTAATTCTTTCTTCTTAACTTTGTTTTAAAATTACATTTATTTGACATATAATGCACATACATAAAATTCACACAGTTAATGTATCCAAATCAGGGGTTTTTCACATATTCTCTGAATGGTAGAACCATTACCCTAATCTAATTTTATAATATTTTCATCACCAAAATGACCAAAATGACCTGACCAAGGAGGGGTCATTCCCATTTCCCCCCCTTTCCCTCACACACACACTATCCATCTCACCTAGTCCTAGGCAGTCACTTACATATTTTCTGTCACACAGTTTGGTCTATTCTGGACGTTTTATATAAACAGAATCATACGATATGTGAGCTTCTGTAAATAGCTTATTTAACATAGCATAATGTGTTCAAGATTCACTCCTTCTGGAGCACGTATCAGTATTCCATTCTTATTTACTGTCAAATTATATATATATATATATATATACACACACACACACACACACACACACAGACACACACACACACACACACACACACACACACACATGTATTTTGAGGTGGAGTCTTGCTCTGTCGCCCAGGCTGGAGTGCAGTGGTGTGATCTTAGCTCACTGCAACCTCTGCCTCCGGGGTTCAAGGAATTCTCCTGCCTCAGCCTCCTAAGTAGCAGGGATTACAGGTGTCTGCCACCATGCCCAGCTAATTTTTTGTATTTTTAGTAGACATGGGATTTCACCATGTTGATCAGGGTGGTCTCAAACTGCTGACCTTGTGATTTGCCCACCTCAGCCTCCCAAAATCCCAGGATTACAGGCATGAGCCACCACACCCGGCCTCAAATAATATTTTACTGTACAGACATACCATAGGATTTTGTTTGTCCATTCATCAGTTGATAGACATTTTGGTTGAGTCCATTTTTTCAAGATTACGAATGATGTTGTTATGGGCATTTGTGTACACGATTTTGTGTTGATGTATCTCTTCACGTCTCTCGGTTACACACCCAGTAGTGGAATTGCTGAGTCTGAGTAACCACATTTAACATGTTGAGGAACTGCCAGATTGTCTTCCAAACTGGCTGCAACTTAAAATTCTATCAGCAATGTACAAGGATTTCAATTTCTCCATATCCTCTACAGCACTTGTTAGTGTCTGTCTTTTTAGTGATAACAATTGTAGCAGGTGTGAAGTGGTATATCATCATTGTTCTGATTTGTATTTCTTCAATGACTGATAATACTGAGCATATTCTCAGCTTTTATTGGCTATATTTATATTTTCTTTGGTGAAGTGTTTGTTCAGATCTTTTGCTGATTTTTTAGTCGGGTTGCTTTTATATTGTTGAGTTTTAAGAGTTATTTGTATCTTTGGGTACAAGTCCTTTATCAGATATATGTTTTAACATATTCTCTCCCTTTATGTGGTTCATCTTTTCTTCTGAAGCAACTGGAATTTTTTAATTATAGGAATATATAAATCATTTAAAGTCTATCATTGGAGTCATTTCTGAGTGTACAATTTGGTGGCATAAAGAACATTCACAATGGCGTGGAGCAGCCACCAGCATCCATCTCCAGAAGTCCTTTTCTCTATAACAGAATTTATTTTTCAGTGTATTTCTACTCACAGCAAAACGGAGTGGAAAGGAAAGAGATTTCCTGCATGCTCTCTGCCCCATTATCCACATCCCCTGCAGAATGGTACATTGGTTACAACCGATTAGTCATATCGTTATTACCAAGAGGCCACAGTTTACCTTAGGGTTTACCCCCTGTGCTGTGTATTCTACGGGTTTGGACAAATGTGTAATGACATGTCTCCACCACTGTGGTATTGTACAGAGTATCTTTCTTGCCCTGCAAGTCCTCAGTGCTCCACCTATTCACCTCTCCCTCCCGCCCTCCCCCACAGCAACTACTGAGTGTTTTACTGTCTACATGGTTTTTCTTTTCTAGAGTGTTTTAAGGTTGGACTCGTACAGTATGTAGCTATTCAGGTTTGCCTAGTAGTAATATGGATTTATTTTTTCCCTGTCTTCATGGCTCCGTTGCTCATTACTGTCCCCACTTTACAAATAAGAGAGCTGAGGCACTGAGACAGTAAGTACTGTCCACAAGGAGGACAGAGCATAAGGTCAGGACGTGAGACTCGAAGTGTCCATCCCTTCACCCTCTGCACAACACTGGCCTCCGTCTGTTCTTCTGATTGTCGTGTTCCCCAAATCCAAGTTCCTCAACTTAGATTTTCCTCAAAGTACATTCCCTACCACGGAGCACAAGAGCCTCCCTTTTGAGAAACCCACTTTTCTCGAGAGTAAAGAGGTGACTGTTTCCAGACTGCTTATTGTCTTCACCTTTATGGAAATGCAGGTAGTGTTTCAAAACAACATTAGGAATTACCAATCATTTAAAAAACGGCCTGTCTTCCACACTTTTCTCAAAGACTTGATGGAAACACTTTAGTCCTTTGCGGCGCTTTTTATAAAACACTTCCAGAGATGGACATGCCACAAAGCTAACGAGGCTGGACCACACAGCCCTTGTTTGCACGGCCCCTTCCAAAGCGCTGGAGGGACACTGCAGCTTTTTCGTGGATAATTCTGAATCATTAGAAAAGAACTCCTGTCCATTTGTTTCCTCTCTTGGTATGTTTTGTTGGGTATTTGACATTCTGAATTTTAACATTTTTGTATTAATCATTAATTTCTATGTTTATCTTTGTATTTATGTTTACGTAATACTTTCCTGAGACATGCTCAGATATTTTTATATTTAATTTGTTATTCTGAAATTATTTTGGTCTGGGCCTTTCTACCGACTGCCAATCATGTATTTTATTTGTGTGATATAAATATATTTGTTTTATATATATATATTTGTGTGATAAAAAATTTATTTGTGTGATATTAACAAACACTACTTGTCATCAAATTTTTAAAGAAGAAAATGCCTGTGGCTAGGAAAATGAAGCCTTCTTATCAGCAAAAGTAATTCCTAATCTCCTCCATCAATCTGTCTGCCTGGCCTCACGTGGTGGCAGTGAGGCTAATGTTGGCCCTGAGGGGCTGGCCGTGACGGCTGGCCTTGTTCCAGCCCACTCCCTGGCTCCTTTGATGGAGAAGTTCCACTTCAGAGTCTCTGTGCAAAGCCTATGAAGCAAGGCATTTCCTGATCTTTGAACCTAGAAACCAATATTAGGAAAACTTTAAGACAGACAGACAGAGTTTAACCCTTACATATACTTTGTGTTAACACATGCCTGTGTTTTCATTAAAGAGAAGGGACACTGCTTTTTAACTATCAGTTCTCTCACACACATCACGAGATGCAGCCTAACTGTAAAATCACTACAGTGTACCAGAGAACTCACAATTCTAGTCATAATCACAGAATCTTTTGGAAATCCGATAAATTTCATTCATTTATTATCTGACATCAATTTACAATGAAAATATGAAAGCCATTTCTTTTTTCTTAAATAACAATAAAAAATACACTATTAGGCATTTGAAAAAAGAAAACTAAAAACTGGTCAGCCAGCTTATTAAGTTTAATATATTAAGTAAAAATAGCAATGAGTTTTGTGCCATTTATAATTTCAGTGGCTGGTCAAATCTGTCACAAAGGTAGATTCTTACTGTCTACCTACCGTTTCTTACTGCCTTCTAACACACTCAGGCTTAGTCAACAAACTACCGCACAAGTAGAAAACATTTTCCCCTGTAAAAAATTGCACTTTTCAGGTTCTGATTTTCAAAGACAGGTGTATTTCTCCCCTTTTCTATAGCTTCAAATTTTCTTGCAAATCAATTTGGGTCCCATAGAAGAAAAATAAAAGGGCTGCACAAAGAGGGTACCTATGAGAAAGCACCAGGTCAATGAATATGCAGGGAATTCTACCAAATCTTTAACGTTCCAGATGCTGTTAGTGCCATTTCAGCCAGCCCAGAGAGTAGGAAATACAAGAAAAAACATCTAATTATATTTTTATATAGTGAGTATTACAATGATTTACAACCTAATAATGAGTGCACAAGAAAAGCATTCTTGCTTCAAAATATGAAGGCAAAATCTCACATAAAATAATAATTGACAGAATTCATCAACACATTTCTTTTAATACATTATGATCTATTAGGGTTTATGCAGGAATTAGAGATTCATGAATATAATCCATCATGCATTTTTCTCCATAGAAAGAAAAACACAATTGAGAAAATGCAACATATGTTTGTGTTAAGAACACTGATTAAGCTAAAGTTAAAAACATATTTTATATATATAGAGAGAAAGGGTATATATGTTCCTAAGATCCAATAACTTAATAGGAAAATAGAGATCCTTTTCCTTTTAAAATTGAAAGCAAGATAATATCCATTGCCTTCCTTACCGTTTGTCATTATATTGTATATATTAGCTAGCATACTCTTAACAAAGTAAATAAATATGTAAAACAATGACAGGTATACAGACTAGAAAGCAACATATGTTGCAAGGAGCAGTGGCTTATACCTGTAATTCCAGCCCTTTGGGAGGCCAAGGTGGGCGGGTCACTTAAGGTCAGGGGTTCAAACCAGCCTGGCCAACACGGTGAAACACCATCTCCACTAAAAATACAAAAATTAGCAGGGCATGGTGGTGTGTGCCTGTAGTACAAGCTACTCAAAAGGTTGAGGCAAGGGAATTCCTTGAACCTGGGAGGCAGAGGTTGCAGTAAGCTGAGATTGAACTACTGCACTTCAGCATGGGCAACAGAGCAAGACTCCATTCTCAAACAAAAACAAATGCTTACCTATCCAGAATACAAAAAGGAATTAATAAAAAAACTAGTAGACATATTTTTCTAAATTATCATAAAATACACAGGCATAAACTTAACAAAAAACATTCAAATCCATGCGAGAAAGTTCATAAGTTCCTACTGAGTCCAACATAGATTAAAGAAATGCAAAGACACACCATATTCTTATTCTTGCGTAGGGAGACTGTACAACACACAACAGAAAGATGGTGATTCTCTCCAAGTTTAATTATGAATTTCATGTGAACTCAACAAGAAGATTGTTAACTTTTTTTCCGTTTCCAGAGTTGATGATAAATTTTATTCATAACAATCAAGCAAGAATGGCCAGGAGAAGTACAGTGAGTGGGGCTCACTAGTCATAGGTTATTAACTATTATAAACACTCTACACTACACCTATTGTGTATGGTGCTTGACTGATCAAAGAAACAGGAAAGATGAAAATTCCCTTGGGATTAGTTTATGATGTAGGCAGTTACTTAAATTAGTAGGAGGAAGAAGGAGTTATGATCAGTGGAAGCCATATGAAAAAAAGATAAATTTGGATCCATGCTTATATTACACATGAGAATACATTCTGAAACCACACTTGCAAAAACTGTAACAGCAAGAAACTTATGACAGGGAAACAGATATGACCTAATTGACTCCATCTTGCCTTTAACCTCTAAGCTGCCCTTGTTCATTCCTGGGCATGGTCCAAAATAACTTTGGGGGAAATTTAGTTTATAGTTTAAATGATAATAGCTCTTACCAAAACTAAACTGCCTTTATGAAACTGATAAAAGAGCACAAGTTTAGGACTATGAGAGGGGCCTGAATTCTACTAAGATGTAGGTGTAGTTAAATGATAACCAGCCATTGTCTGGAGGTCACAAGATTTGTAGCTTCAATTACTCATGTAAATAACATCACTATCATGGAAACTAAGACTGACCCTTTGAGATGTCTTTTCAGACTTTTACATTTCTGATGCCTGGATGAATCACTGGGACCAGCCTCTCCTCTCATTCCCACACCCAGAGTGGACTCAGCCTAGGAGCACCATTTTCTACACCTCTGTGATTTCCTTCCCCACTGATCAGCAGCACCCATTCCTTAGCCCACATCCATCAAACTATCTTTAAAAAACCCTGGCCTCTAGAGTTCAAGACCAGCCTGGTCAACATGGTGAAACCCTGTCTCTACTAAATATTCAAAAGTTAGCTGGGCGTGGTGGCAGGCACCTGTAATCTCAGCTACTCAGGAGACTGAGGCAGGAGAAGCACTTGAATCAAGGAGGAGGATGTTGCAGTGAGCTGAGATCATGCCATTGCACTCCAACCGGCGACAGAGTGAAACTCCACTTCAAAAACAAAACAAAACAAAACTCTGGCCTCTAAATTTTGGAGGAGGCTGGTCTGAGTAATAATAAAACCCTTGTTTCCTGTTCAGCTGGCTTTGTGTGGATTAAACTCTTTTTCTAATGCAATTTCCCTGTCTTGATAAATCAACTCTATCTGGGATGCAGGCAAGATGAACCCATCGGGCAGTTACAATTCCAAATGAATCAGGGATCTAAATGTTAAACAACAACAAAAAAAGACAAAGAAAAAACAGCCATATGCTAGGATAGGAGACGTGAATAAATTCCTTTACAGCTTTGGCTTTGGAAAAACTTTTCCAGCAATGACTCAAAATCCAGAGGCAATTGAAAACTATACTTACAAAATTGTCTACATAAAAACATGATTTTTAAAAAGCATGGTAAAAAAAAGAAAAGCAAAAATGGCAAATAACAATTTGGGAAAAACAGAGTTAATATGTCACAGGGAAAGGACTAATTATGCTGATATAGAATAATTTATAGACATGTGGAAAGTAAAAAATTCCTCTTCAAAGTTTCACTTCTTGTTAAATAAATAATAAATATTAGAAATAATAGTTTCTTGTAAAGACTAACTTCCTTCAAAGCCTTCTTGCTTTTCACTAATAACTCTTTATTAAGCCCTATCCTATGTAGCTGTTAGATATAAAAGCATAAAAACATTCTATGTCCTTGTAATTTAACCAGATATTTGTTTTGGATGTGCTCAGGCACATCCCAGCTCACAGCCTATGCCCCTTCCTTATTTGGAAATGTTATTACTGGTCTAAGTCCTTTTGCAAGCAATTTCCTCTTTTCCTTTGTTCTCTGTTGCCTTTAGTTATTTAGGAAAGTTTTAAGTTGTTAGCCGAGTGGGTTTAGCTTAGACTGAGTTGCAGCTCAAACCAATGGAGCTAGGACACAGCAGTAAGGACCCAATGCATAAGGGACTATCTTTCCTTTGTTCATTGTGCTCTCCTGGCAAGATTGTTGATGAGCAGCACCCTTTCTGCAGAAAGTAAAATTGCCTTACTGAGAAAATTCTTTGAGCACTAGTTCTTCTTTTTGGCACTGAGGAATGAGCATTTCTAACAAGATACAAGAAAAATAAGACAAAAAGTCCAATAGCATGAAAAAGTAAAAACTGTGAATAGTTAAGAAAGTAAGAAATAAAAATGGCCCATAAGCCACTTTAAAAAAAAACAACACCCAAATTCAATCCTAATAAAAATGCAACATACTGGGCACCAATAAACTACACTGAAATTCAATAAATAAAGGGAAAGAATTAAGCATTTTCCCTGTCTTTCCTGTATATACTGAATTTCAGACTAAGTAAGTACTGATGTGCAAAAGGTTTTTTTTGGACAGACTAACCACTAACAAATGCAGAAGGAATTATATAATTACAATACAGCCACTTCAGAGTTCTGAGAAGCAGCTACCTCTCTTCCAGGAATACTGTACCACTCGATTAAAGAAACCCATAATTTAATCTTTTGGGGCTTAAAAGATTAAAGCCCCAAACCCCATGGCACGACTGTCTCTTGAACACTCACCTTTCTTGAGTGTGTACTTTTGTATTTTCACTGTATCCTGACTCATTCTTGAATTCTCTCTCACAATGTTGTCAAGACCCTGGACACAGGCAGGGGATGAGGTCCCATAGGCATTTGGGGACCTCTCCTGGCCCGCTGGTATCAATACTGTGACCATTGATTTGATAACTGTACCTAAGTGACTAATGGGTGGACAGTATGTACATGGTGGATACCCTGGAGAAAGGGACAATTTGCATCCTGGGTGGGACGGAGCTGGATGGTAAGAGACTTCATCATACTACTCAGAATGGTGCCCAATTTAAAAGTTATGAATTGTGTGTTTCTAGAATTTTCTGTTTAGCATTTTTGGGCCAAGGTTGACTGAAGGTAAGTGAAACTGCAGAACTTGAAACCTGAATTAGGGGAGATGAGTACATTTATAGGAAAATCCACACATTTACTTTAGAGTATTCTTTAACAAATGTGAGAGGAGAGATACTTGCAGCCAAAACAGAAGAAAGTTGGTGCTGAATAACTGGCACGTGAGGTTTCATTGCACTCTTTTATCCATGAAAAATAGAACTACAGCCTCTCTTTAGCCAATGAAATAACTGGTTTGATGCTCAAAAAGTTTTTCAAAATAGAACAACACAGGAAGGCCCCAAACAGCAGTACCTGCAATCCTAGGCCCTGGATTCAGGCTCTGTCTTGTACTCACATGCTGGGAGGCTGTGATCCCACGAAGTAATGCAAGCCCTGTCCGTATCTCAGGCCCCTTATCTGTGAACTGTGGAGAATGTGGATGGGACTCCACAGGTAACTATATGTTATTGTCTGAATGTCTGTGTCTCCCCCTAAATTCATATGTTGAAGTCCTAACCCCCAATGGGATGGTATTTGAAGGTGGGGCCTTTGGGAGGTTAATGAGGTCAGGAGAGTGGAGGCCTCCAGATGGGATTAGTGCCTCATAACAAGAGATATGAAAGATGATGTTTCTCACTTTGTGTGAGGACCCAGCCAGGGTGCACATGTGCAGGCCAGAAGAGGCCCTCACCAGACACTGGATCTGCTGACACCCAGCTGGTACTTCCCAGCCTCCAGAACAGTGAGAAATGCATGTTGGTGGTCTTTGGGTTTTTGTTCCAATAGGCCCAGATGACTAAGACACTATATAAAATGCACAGCAGTGTTCCAGGCCAGTCATTGCTGAGTTGATGTTAACTGTAGTTTCTATTGTGCTGCCAAAAAAAATAGAAAAATTACATCCCTTACTCAAAATACCATATTAAAAAGCTCTCCCTTTTCACTGGGCTCTCTGGAAAGCTCTCCCTCTGTGTGTCTCCAGCCCTTGGCTGCTAAAGAGGGTGGTGGGGAGGCTTGGAGAACGGCCGCCACCACACTGTCACCATGCTTACCCTTGGGGTCCCCTCCAGTTCTCTCTGCCACTTCCCTCCCCTCTCTGTGCTTTCCACTAGGATACAACAGTTTAAGAGGAGCAGCAGCCTCACAGTAAAATTACGCTGTACACAGCCTTTTGTCTACAGAAGAGTGATACTTTTTTTGAATGGTGAGTGTTAAGTGGTAGCTTCCCAGTCTGTTGCATTTTGACCGACTTTGAGAAGTGTTTAGAAGGAAAATAGGACAACTGTTGATTTAAAAGATGTAATACGAAGCTGTTTCAAATTTATGTTTGTTTCTGTGCAATAAGAAATAAATTCTGCTTTGGAAACTGGGATCATTTTCTTGTCTGTAGTTGTTAATGTGTCCAAGTATAATAATGATTTTACTGATGCTATGAACACTGCTATTTTCCCCATGCAAATGTCACACAAATGTCCCAGGGCTTGGAATTGACTCAGGGAATCATCAGTTACAAATTTACCACTGTTGGGGGTAGAAGTTTCCAGAGATTAAGAGGCACTGTAGATTATACTGAATATTCTGTGGTCTTCTATGGAATATTGTGGAGTCTGCTGCTGGATCACAAACCCTTTGCTCACTGTTTAGAAACTATGCCAGACTCTTGTCGGGGGTAGGGAGTTGGGGAGAGATAGCAAGGGGAGAGATGCCAGATGTAGGTGATGGGGAGGAAGGCCGCAAATCACACTGCCACATGTGTACCTATGCAACAATCTAGCATGTTCTTCACATGTACCCCAAAACCTAAAATGCAATAAAATAAAAATTAAATAAAATAAGAACCTATGCCAGACTCTTTAACTTTCTTCAGAGATTTCTCAACTCAGTGCAGCCCAGCATTCAACGTTTTTTTTTTTTAATGAAATAAGAGGTCTTGAATTGAAGCCTACAGGTTGTTTAGCCTCAGCTCCTGTTTACCAGGTTTCTAGATATTAAGCAAGCCACTCAATCTTTGGGAGCTTTATCTTTTTAAAACATAATGGGATGGTCTACAACAGTATTTTTGAAACATTGGGTCTTTAGAATCAGTTAAGTGGATGACGTCCAGCATTTTAAAACGAGATACAGAAGAGAACATATGAGAAGTCATCATGTAGATGTGTCTTCGAACATCTAAGTCTGCTTTTGCTTTCCCTTTTCTGTCTAATATAAAGAGGTGGTTTCCATTTACATTTTTATACAGATGTTTGTTATGCAAATAAAATCTGTTAAAACTTATGTATTAATTTTGAATCAAGCTTCCTTCAAAACTTAATTTTAATCATTTTAGTGGCATGCATTATTTTTTCAAGATCTCTGATCATATCACCTGTAAATAATGATAATATTAACTTTTACAATATTTGTGGTGCTTATTTTTATTTCCTTCATATGTTACTAAAGCAGAGACAATGTTCCTGATCCCTGCTATGTGTTGTACATCCAGGATTTCTGTTTAATACACATTTAGTGTTTTTATTGAAATCAGTCACTGAATCATGTTTTAAAAATTTCAATGCGTTTACTTAATAAATTACTTTGAAAGATTCTCTAACATTGCATTATTGTCATCTTTCTGGAATTATGGTATGTCAGTTTTTGGATAAATGCTGAATTAGGCAGACAGTATACTAATCTTTGCAGATTTAGTAGGAGTCTAAATTGTGGCATGCCATGTATTTCATCTTGTAGCACAAAAGTTATTTAAAAACTCTCTATGTCAGGTGATAGGAGAAGTTAACACTGGAATAAGACATATTATTCCAATTTATACTTTTAATTCCAGTAATAAACATTGGTTTCTTAAAAGTTTGGTAGAATTTATCTCATCTACTATATATAAGACTAAGGACTTGAAGTAATATACACGGAATATTGTATATTATACATATAGAAAAGTACTTGTAATTGAAGTACACACACACACACACACACACACATATATATATACAGAAAAGAAGATGAATCAAACGTATCCAAATGATTTATTTACAAAGTGTGATATGTCTACCTACCCAGCGCTCTAGTCAGGAGCAGGACATTATAGACCTCAAAAGCCCTTATATCCTGTCCATCTTAATTACCTCCTCCCAAAAGAAACCAAAGTCTTACCCTCAGTCACATGAATCGCCCAAAGACAGGAGCCCTCTGGCCTCCTCCTTCGTCTGAATCACAATCCTATGCCACAGATAACCAACAGCCTGACTATCCAGTCCTTCCATTTTCAAATATATTGTTCTAAGGTTCTTACATATTTCTTTTGTGGTTTTTAAATGAGTATCGTTTCTGTGTTCTTTCATATTTTAGACACTTTTGTTTTACTTTCCTCTATCAAATCTGCTGGGGCTGGCTTTTATTTAGTTTCCTTCCAAACTCAGAGTTCTGGTTATTTGTTGGTTTTGTTCTTTGCTTCCATTTTATTAAGTTCTTGGCACCTTTCTAACTGCTGCAGAAACAACACAGATATGGCAAGGTCCCTGCTCTCCTGGGCTTATCCTGGGGGGATGAGATTGCACATAGGCAGATGCCGACAAGCTAGAGCACAGGCAGGGAAGGAGTGAGGGGGTGGGAGTGAGAAGCAGGCTCAGAGGGGAGGGGATGCGGAAATTCCCTCTGATAAGATCCGGAAGGAGATGAGGACGTCTCCAGGAAACCCTCAAAGGCTGTGAGCAAGGAACTAGGTGTGCTTCAGGAAGAAGGAGGAAGACAACTGAGCAAGGGCAGATGAGGGAAACGGGTGAATTGGGACAACCGGTTCTGGAAGCAGCAACTGGCCAAGAAGCAAGGCAGGCAATGGGCATGTTCACCAAGAGTCCAACAGGCAGGAAACGAAAATAAAAACAACTGAGGTTCACTTTTCTCGTGAGATGGGCAATTTGTTGTTTTTAAAAAATGCATTAACACTTTTCAAAACATCCAGTGTTGACAAAAGTGGTGAAAAAGAAGTCTCTATATGCTGGTTTTGGCTCTAGTATTGAATGCAGAATCACGGTATGGAATACGGCACTATTAAATTCTTCCTTGTTTGTAAACTTTGTGAAATTTACTTGACAGAAATACAGTGACAGCAAAAAAAAAAATAAGTAAATAATATATGAAATAAAAACGCACACATGTGGATTACTGTGCTATTTTTGAGAGCTTGAATAAGGCAGGAATTCCACTCCGTCGGTTCAGTGAGGACGCCGCCATTAATGAGGAAGCAGCCGCGGCGCCTGCGCGGAGTGGGCGGGGCGCCGCCGTTAATGAGGAAGCAGCTGCGGCGCATGCGCGGAGTGGGAAGGTCGCCATCATACTTCCCGAGCTGCGGGGTCCCAGTGGTACGGAGGGAGGTCATCGTCGCAAAACGGTCTCGGTGTACAAGTGGAGAGTAGATCTGTTTATGTAAGTCTGCATGAGCAAACAGATGTACAGGAAGGAGCAGAGAACCCTTGCAGGGCCTGCCAGGCCCCCAAAGCATGAAGTAAAGAAAACTCTCGAGTCCCTTTGAGGGGAATTGCGGACGCCTCGCCAGCGAGCCCTGAGAGGTAAGTGAGCAGCCTGAGGGCTGGAAGGCACTGGACCCCCCAGGTGACGGGCCGGCTCGCAGACCTCAGGGACCGAGCTGGGGGCTGCTCTTCGTTCTGAATTTCCTCGAGGGGCCTGAAGGAAGTCATGCCTTCGGGTCAGATCTTAACATTCCTTTCCGTCCAGCCCAGATTTTTTAGACAAAGTTTCACTTCCTTAGCCAATCGCAAATCAGAGCCTCTGGATCCACCTCTGACCTCTAAGCCTCTCCTTCAAGACATCCTCCTGCCTGTGAGGGCCAAACCAGCCTACAGTCTCATGTGTTATGTATTGACTTACGGCTTTGCCTGTAACTTTCCTGAAATGTACCCCTGCCTTTAAGAACCCCTGCTGGCAATCTGCTGAGGTTAGCTCTTCAGTGTGAGCTGCCTGATTCTCCTTGTGTGGTGCCCTGCAAATAAACACCCTCCTTTCTCCTGCAGCAAAACTTGGATGTATGTTTGGCCTCACTGTACAGGAAAAGCAGACCCCAGTTTGGCTCAGTCACGGGAACCATGGCTCAGCCTCCAGCAGGGCTACGGGTGGCATGGGGAGGAGTGGAAGGCTTTTTACTCTGCCTTTAGACTTTGAATTGTTGCAATATGAAACTCACCACAAAAAACGTCAGCCTTGAAATACTGTTTTCTTGTTGGACAAAGATATTAGCAACTGATATATTTGAGGTACTTCTGGCTATAATTCTATTATAATAGTTAAACTTATCCAGAGGTTAGCATTTAGGTAAACTCAATCTTCAGGAATGCAGCAGTGGCCTCAGAGACGTGGTCTTGGTGCAATGAAAGCAGTAACAGTGCAGCCCAATTCCATTCAAAGGACCACCGTTCCGAGATACTGGGGGGCTCCTGTGAGTCAACCAACCGTGCTCACCTTTCCCTCACTCTCAAAGTCCAAAAACAACCAACTATAAATCAATGAAGGAAAATGCAAGCTCCATTCGTGGATTACAATGAAAAGTGACACTTCCCAGCAAGAAATGAGAGAGAAAAACTTCTGAAAATTACACCAAAATGAAATGTATATCAGTCTGAAGAATATTTTACTTACAAGGAAGAAAGTGTGTGTGTGTGTGTGTGTGTGTGTTTGCGACCATGAAATCACAAAGACTATCCAATGACTAATGTTGAAACTTTCACTCTGATTAAGTTTTACTCTTCTCATTATATTTTTTATAGTTTCTTTTTAAAAAAAATATTTTGTCAGATTTATTGAGAAACAATTTACATTAACGTAATCATCTTTTTCAGGTACGCAATTAGAAATGGTTTTTAAAATTTTATTTTACTGCAGTAAGAACACTTAATATGAGCACATGCGATCTGCCTCTTACCAGATTGTTAAGTGTGTAATACAGTAGTGTTACCAACAGTCACGTGCCATTTTCTTTTGCCTCTGTGGAGTTAGAGGATAACATCAGTTGGGTGATGATACCCTAGAGATGAGATTTTCTTTCCTTTTGGAAAACTCCTGAATTGTCACCTGTGCCACTTAAGGGGCACAGCTGTCCATGCCTGTGATGATGTGTGCTCACCTTGATGCTCAGGAACTCACAGCAGCAGGAACACAAGACTCTACTCTATGGGACTGTTTGCCAAGGCCCCCTTTCTCACCAGGACAGCAGCATTTTGGACAGACACAGTCCTCTAAGGCATCACACATCACATCTAAACCTTGTTGAGACAGAGGGCAACAGACGACCAGCTTTTGAGGTGAATGAACAACGCTGAAGAGGAAAGTACTTGTGGGGAAAGGTGGAGAGAGACTTCAGGGTGTTGGAAGAATCGAGCAATGATGCATGCAGAGAACCAGAGGACGAGAACGTGCGAAGACAGAGACCCTGACCAATGGGCCTAGGGTCTGACCCCGGCTGCACCTACTCCTACACACCCAGGGCCACAGGAGCACGAGCTCATCAGAAAGACGGGGCAGAGGCTCCCTCATTGCAGCCTCTGCTGTAGGAACCTGCAGCCATTTCCATCTATCTAGCTCACATTAGAAATTGCCTCTGGAAAATAAGCCTGGATTATTCTCCTTTTGGTTATCTTTTTGTCAGAGGCATATGGAGAAGTAAGCCCTGCTCAGCTCACAGAGCCTTCCCTAAGAGGGGTGCGTTATTGCCACCCAATCTCTGATTTGAAGGCGCCACCAGGCATTGATTGCCTCTCAGCCAGATAATGAGAATGGAGCTTGCATCTCCTCAAATTGCGAGGCAGCTGTGGATACCTCTCCAGACTTGACGAGCTTGTGAACAGGGATGCAATTTCAGGGAAAGATGATTACATTCCCAGTAAGCAAGGCTGTATTAAATTAGGCCATTCCAACTATTTCAATCAGGGTGAGAATTGGCTAGGCACATGCACGTCACGAGTCAAAAACACTACTATTAAATGGCCTTGCGTTTCCTTCCCCTAAATTGTAACAATGATACACAGTGCAAAGGCCGATACAGTTCACGAGGATGGAGCGATGTCATGTCAGCAGCTTTGAAGAATAGGAGAGACAGTTCTCCTGCAAGCTGCCTTTCGGTGGCCACACTTGTCATGATCTGCTGGTGCTTTTGGGGAAGATGCAGCCTGAATGTGTGTGCCACACAGCTGACCAATACAGGGAGGGGGACTGAGACGGGTGAGGACCGGGAGGAGAGGAGAGGACCTGGGGTAGAGCCTGAGCATCGTTCCTGCACTGTCCCAGGAGTTCACAGCAAAAGCAGATGGTCACAGGCCTGTTCCTGCCCCCTCTTTCAGCTGCCTCAATAAGGTTCCATGAGGTGACCCCGAAGCCCTGGAGCCTGGAAGCTTTGTTTAAAGATATGGAGTCAGGAGAACCTTCCAGTTGCAAGCTAAAGATTTCCCTGAGTGGGAATCACTCCACGGGTGCTTTGACAAATACACTGTCCTTTAAGCCCCATGTGAAACACAGGCAGAAAGTAGTGGGTACCCCTTATGCCACTGGCCATAAAACAGCAACAGTGACGGCTGGGGCAGAGTGAGGAGGGCTGGACTAGGCGTCTAGGCTGACACGAGGCTGCAGACTCCATGGAGGCATCCCGCAGTCTCTCAGCTTCCTGTTCCAGAGAGCACAGGGCTGGTTCAGTGCGTTAGTCCTGGATAAGCCACTTTAGACACGGGGCAGAGAGGGTGTCCATATCTAATTGCAGGTCTCCCTCTGCCAAGCAGGAATCTCTTCATTTGAAGCTCAGACCCACTACTTCGTTAAAGAATTGTTTATCTCAAGAAAGAAATGTGTCTAAGAAGATTGTCAGCTGATGAAGATGGAGAGGGAT